TTGAAATCCCTCGGAGGATGGCTTCTTTCTTGAGTTTATTGAAGTAAAATAAATCAAAATAAAGCACAATTAATTGGTATAATTAGAATTAATTAGAATAAATCAAAAGAAAACATAGTTAATTAAAACAAATCATAATTAAACTCAAGTAATTAAAATAGATCAAAATAAAACACAGTTTATTAAAATAAATTAAAATAAAACTCAATTAATTAAAATAAATCAGAATAAAACACATATAATTAAAACAAATCAAAATAAAACACATATAATTAAAATAAATCAAAATAAAGCACATAGAATTTAAATAAATCAAAATAAATACATATAATTAAAATAAATCAAAATAAAACACATATAATTAACATAAATCAAAATAAAACACAAGTACCTAATTATAGTAAATCAAAATAAAACACAAGTACCTAATTATAGTAAATTAAAATAAAACACAAGTACCTAATTAAAATAAATTAAAATATAACCCAATTAATTAAAATAAATCACAATAAAAAAAAAAATAAAAAAAACGAACCCCTGAGTCGAGTTCGGATAATAGAGAGGACCCCTTGAACCCCCCTTGACCAGTGTCCACCAGTGGTCAGCAATCGTGGGAAGACCTCGTCGAGTTCGGATAATAGAGAGGACCCCTTGAACCCTCCTTGATCAGTGTCCACCAGTGGTCAGCAATCGAAAGACCTCGACGAGGTCCGCGGACGCGAGTGAACTGAGGATTTTTCATTGCGCGCTCGTATTTACGGGCTCGCAGTGACCGCGAGCTTGCGCGCACTGGTGCGCGGACAGGTGCGCGAACATTGAGTGCACTGGAAACTCGAGCGCGCCAAAAATTATTTCTCGATTAATTTATTATTTCTAATAAGGTAATTGTTATAACAATTACCTCCCTGAGGAATATTGTTAAACATTCTGTCAGCTGTCTTATAATGCAAATTGTTATTGTTTATAGCAAATATAAATCGAAATATACAGAAACTTTCAAGATATGGACCCTTTAATGAACTTTTACATGTAATAAGTTTTACTTTCTTGCAAACTATTAAACAATGTCTATGTCTTAATGTTAATGGCGATTGTTAACTAAATATTACTTAATTTAAATGTGCGTTGGTAGAGTTTTATGCAAGAAATTCGTGAGAATTTGTAGAACAGTAGGAATTCTTTAATCGACGTTTGATTGTTATTGTCCTTGACAATGATTGTTACAACTTTTGGAATAGAATTTTTGGCAATAATGTAATATTTATAATAATCGCATCTTTGGTGACACATTCTATCAGTCATTTTACAATGCAGATTTTTAATAATTATAAAAAATAGAAATCGAGATATACCGAAGCTTGTAAGATCAGGATATTGTTGAAAAAAATTCAGATTTCTCCCTATCGTCATAAATTACTGTAGAAAATCTAATTTTACATAAAAATCTACTGCCCATTCATATTACATTCATCCTTTAAATAGATACAGTGCATATATTGGTTACCGACAAATATTACATACACACAACATACCGGAGAATAGTTGGCGCCGAATATTAGTGTTTCTTAACAATAATAATCTTAAAAAATTGCCCCCGAATTGCTCCCATCGCAACGTTTATATTTAATGAGATATTGGCAAATATGGTACAATGGACCCTTAATATATTGCCGCGACCGTGGTTGTAGGAGAGTAAAATTCTCGGAATCAGCTTCATCGGAAGTCAAGTTTTCATGTCGTTTACGTTTTCGTGTACTTCTGGATTTAATCTTTCGTCTGGTTACATGCGGTCTATATTTCTATACTTTTGCGAATTTCCCACTGAAACTTTGACATATTATGCTGGAGATGTTGTACGATGACAATACAGAATAACAAACATCGATCTTTTCAAACAATGTCTACCCTTAAGTTTTTTCGACGGTCTCCCGTCGAGCTTTGACAAACATGCCAATATCATCCGTTTGTCGGTGTTTCTTCGACGAGAAACTCAGTAGTGAAAAATCGTTCTCAGTCCTCCCCCTGTCCGTCGAAACAGATATAGAATGAGGAAAAGGCGGAGGGCGCGAGGGCGCTTGTGGGAGCCGCGTCGCCGTCGTGGACTCAGTCTACGCATAGGAGGCGAGTGCGACGGTGGCGTCGCGACGCCGGCGCAGTCGACTCGATCGATTCCCCACGTTTCTCGGTGTACTTGAACATCGGTGGCTAGGAGAGCACAGTGAGTCTGATAAAGAGGAATAGATACGTGGTACCGAGTGCGACGAAGAACGCTAGTAAATGGTGAAGAGAGAGGTAGCTATGCCGAGATAGAGAGAGATATATGTATATTGGAGAGAGGTGGAGAGTGGTAGAATATCGGGTGCGCGGGTATCTTCCGTCGACGACGCGTACGACGGATCGTGGCGAGATCTCCAGCGAGGTGACAGACTACAGAGGGAAGTTTCGTTTCGGTGGCGAAAAACCAAGCTCACCGGGTTCCTCGGTTAAAAATATATATTCGCACGCGACCGGCGGCGCAGGATGACGACGACGTCGCGGATTTAGAGGTGGGAAACGTAAGCTGAGAACGCTTTCTCGACACGGGATCGATCGGTAGAGTCTCCGTTTAAACCGCGTTTCGCTATTTTATGACCCACATGCGGACGGTGCTCGTCGGTCAGGGAGTCCATGGGCCACACGTTATTGGGCATGGATCCGTTTAACTCGTTTTAGGTGCTGTTACACTCGGTGACCCACGACTGTGAACCGATTTTCGCAGCCTGACACTGGGCCCCATGGATGGACACCGGTGCGACGATGAGAACGAGAAAGGAGTCAGTGTTGCGGTAAGGGTGCTTCCTTCTATAGTCGGTGAAAAACGATATAGTGTGGTCATCGGAGTAGACCTTTAACAGACCGAGTCCTGCCGATGCCGCAACACGGATCGACCGTGTGTAAGTACGTGCGGTTCCGTTTTGCCATTTGGAAAAGACAGTACTGGTAATTAATGACGATCCTTCTGTTAGTATTTACACCGTTGGAGTCTCTTCCTGCATTTAACCCTCGAAAGATTAACATTATTGTTTGTTCCTCGCGTTAACGTCTCGCGTAAATGTATTTTGGAATCGGTCCTGAATGCTTTCCTGTCGTTCTTTGTAAAGTATGCTTTTTATAGGGCCGAGAATATACAACCGTATACTTATAAAATTAACGAGTCTTGCAGATTTTGCACCTCGAATAACCAAAGCCTTTCTTGTACGATGATGAAATAGCTATTGACGTTGACTTACAGCAAAAGAATCGAAACAGTGTTTACACTACTTTACACAGTTTGTTGGACATGAGACGATGCTCAGGACTCGGGACATTTGCCACCCCATATATTTGCCGATTATTTTGTCCCGACACTTGAAACACGAACACTTTAGTTCCCGGTCGATTATTACGACTATACTATATCTTCCTTCGACTATATACCTCTTGGCCGATCGACCTTGTCTTCTTCCTAATTCTCAGCTACCTCCTCCAACTTGTCGTAATGTCCGTCAATGCATATGTATCATCGTACCAGCGTTCTATTGTCGATTTACATCTATTTTTGTAATATATTGGGCTGTTTGGAATGTTACATGTTGAATATGCAACATACTATTGTATATACAACAAACAATATGCATATAGTATGAAATCTACTATACATATACAGTTTCCAATATAATATGCAACGTACAACATACAATGTACATCCACGAGCAAACTCGGCTTCCGCTAGGGAAAAAAGTGGCGTAGGTAAAGGGCCTTCTACCACTTGGAATCAGAAATTACTGAAATTTATACCAAATTAACATTCGATTTAAGATTTATTTCAGTACTGGAAATAAATTTACCAAGTGGTACGAGGCCCTTACCCTTACGCCGCTCTTTCTCCTAATGGATGGTCGACGCACCGAAAAAATAGATAGTCTTAAATCTATACGAATATATTTGTGAGTCACGTGTTCTAGTTTAAAGATTTCCGATATCGACAAGATTGAATGTCAATGGCTCTTCGTTAAGAACATCTTAGAAGATGCGCGGTGACACTTTCGGCCAGAACGACTCTTTGAAAAGCGCAGAGTCGGTTGATTTGGGGACGCGGTTGCTCTATTTCTGGAGTTTGAATCGGGCTACTTAATGTTTTTGAACTTTCCACTTTCCCTGTGACGTTATCTCTGATTACATGCGACCAGTCATTACGATATCAAGTCGAACTTCTTTCCTCACTTGTTTATAAATTATCAATGTCCGATCCTTCGTGATTTTTATCTTGTAATCGCGTCGTGAGTCATACTTTGAAAAGGTTGCATTTACACATGCTTGAAATATCGCGTCGGTTATCGGTAACCGACAATCATTTTCCGTCTGCTACTTCAGATATCGTATCCTCAATATACGTGTACGACTTACAAGGGATAGGTGTGAAGTGTGAGTCGTCATCTTGATAAAATTTGGCATGAAAATTTGTACAGAATATTTCAAAGTAGATGACATGTTTTTTTTTCTTATTGACGAACGTATATGTATATTGAAGGGATGAAAAATGACTTAGGGGTGGAAAACCTATTTGAAGAAATATTATTAACCATTATTTATTTATCAGGGGATAAAAATTTACAACGTACATACGAAAGAGTAGTTAATTATGTGATCTTTTTTTTGACATTCGTAACAACCGATTTCGAAAAACCGATGAAAACAAAAGACTAGTCAGTTCTGATATATTGATTCGAATCTCTTAATTTATATCTAAGTAGTAAGTTATTTACCGATAGTAAGCAAATTTACCCAAGTTCTCTAAATGGGACATACTTCTGTTAATTTTCAATGTATCCTGGTCATAGAAACGTGTCTATTCTGTTACAGCTAACAGAAGGTAAAAATAACACCGATGTAAAAACATAACGATCGATATCCGCAGCTACTGCGACAAGAAAAAGAAAAAACAAAACAGAACGCAAACACCGAGGTTCTTATCGAGATGTTCCGTTTTATTTTTTTTCTAGAATTGTAACAAGGGCTCGTCGAGACGGGGCGCGGCGACATCCTTTGGCTTTCGACGAAGGATAGCCACCGGCATCCCAATGGCGATAGCGAATTACTCGACGGACACTAGTTTGCTTCATCCACGCTCAAAATCGGCCGGCCCGGAGCAGAGTCGTAGATGCGACGAAGACACCGTAGGCACGGTTCGTAATTTATCATCGGGCCGATCAACACCTAGACTCGCACCACCTAAAAAAGACGCCAGCGGAGTTGCCGTGAGAACAAATCGATTCGGATACAAGCAGCCGCAGGTGAAATTCACGAACAAAGTTGGGGACGTCTGCAGTAGTCATACCGTCAGTCACTATAATCAAGAGAAACTGCAACAACATCAGCAAGAGAATGTTCCGAAACAGACGCACAGGACAGCCATGGTCTGCAATATGGTGCCAGCCTCGAAGGTCAGGTCTCCTGCGCACACCGTTACCGCATACACCAATGTCGGTAACTCTCATACAGACGGGAATCGAAAACCATCGGGGATTCCTGAGCCGATTGGCAGGTACACACTGCATACCAGTCATTTGCCGCTACCTCAGTACGCTGTCAGAATGACGAACGCGAACTCGAAGACCGCGAAAACTGCGGCGAATCAGAGCAGAAAGGTTTCCGCGGCATCGAAAAGTTCCGCGAGCTCTAAGGAAGGGTCCAGTACCGAGGACTCTGGTGTAGGAAGCCAGCAGGGTTGCATGGTGGACGATTCTTCCCGGGGTTTCGATTACACGCACGGATCTCCGAGCAGGAGACGAGGAATAGGCAGACCTAGAAATCTAAGGATGGTTGTGAACGGGAAGAGCTTCGACGTCAGAGACGTCAGGGATGATGATAGCACGGTCACTGAAATATCTGTTATACCGTTACCGAAAACGTTCACCACCGCCAGCACCGGACTGGTGCGGGAACGGGCGACACAGTATCAAAGAATCATGAACAAGGACAATAGACATACCGAGTCAACAACTTCTATGTCTACCACATCGTCGGAAGGATACGACGAAGGTCTTGGCGAGGAGAAGGTTTACAAAGACAGATCACGCACGGAGAAAATTCCTTCTATTAAATCAGACTTCAGTCCACCTAGCTCGGATGATCCTGAATACGGACACGGTGAAGCTATGGCCGATGAATATTCATTGAGCTCGAACGACGAGTGCCAACGGTCCAGTTCTGCGCACCATCTGCAAGTTACGTCGAACACAGCCAAGAACGGGACGCTACCAAAAGCTTCTTTGCGATCGGTGTTGCTTACCATCGAGGATCCTGCATTTGCAGCTGCTGCAGCAACATCGACGACATTGATAGACGACGAGACCTCTCCCGTCGACAGTCTTTTCGACAGTCTGACAACCAGTATTACTCAATCAGACGTTAAAGTTCCTAGAAAGGAGCATCCGATGGAACAGTCTGGGAATACTATAGACGATGATAGTCCCGGGACACCTACCAACGCTTCGAATTCGTTGAGTTTATCAGAGGGTAGAGAGTACTTCGACGACGAGATCGCCGATCAACCTGGGCTTGTTTTCGATGAGAACTCGAGGGCCGGAGCCGAGGCACAGTCCATTGTGGCGAGCCAGCTTGTCACTGAGAATAGTCACACTTTGGTTGAGTCTAGTCCTAAAGCAGGTAAACACCACTCTATATGTATATTCTGTTAACCTCTTGACTTACAATTTTTTCGACGACTGTACGCTCAAAAATTACTTTACCGTTAATAATTTCCTAGATACAGAAGGAATTTTATTCTTAGAGCACGTGTAACATTTACTTTAAATCTTAAGTACTAATACCAATGAAACAGAATTTCACTTCGACTCAAAGAAAATTCATAGTATACATGTTTATTAAATCCAGTTTAAAATCGTCGTCACGTGTCTGACTCGGATGTTATAAATAAGGCAAGGGGTTAATGAAATTTCGGCGAAATACATTTACATGGTGCGAATAAAAGTATTTCTATTGTAAGAATGTGGATAGATGTAGCCTCACGAGTAAACTCGGCTTCCACTAGGGGACGAAGTGAGGTAGGCAACTTTTCTTTTACGCCGTTTTTTCCCTAGTGAAAGCCGAGTTTGCTCGTCAGTGTACATGTACAATTCGAACTACTGTATGTTTATCTTGTTCCTTTAGTATAAAGATAAATCAAGGTCACAACACGATAGTGACTTTATTTTTTTACGTAATGACTTATTTGTTACTACAAATCTTATTTCTTCATTTTTCGCCTGACGGGGGCGGTATCTGCTTACTACAAGTCCAAGACCAAGCACTGTATGATGACTCACATCCATTCTTCAAAGAGAAACGTCACGTTAAATCTAATTAACGAGTTTTCTCTTAACGCGAATGAACAATATAACAAATATACAGTCATGATAACAAATATACAGGAACAAAGGTTGATTACGGTACTATCGTATAGAGTATGTAATGTATGAAACGTACTCACTGTATCTATACAGGGTTATACATCAAAAGAGTCACATGTTTGTGTTGTTTATGGATACATAAAACACTGACAAGAACAAAGTTAAACTGTTAAACAAAGCATGTACAATGACAAAACGAAAATTCCCTTCAAGGTCAATTATGGATGTCTTTTTTATGGAACTGTACGTGTTTAACTTCTGAACTTCCTTTCTTCTTATCGAGTAAAACACATTGGCGTAGAAAAAAATTAATACTAATTTTCAATGTAATAAACCATTTTAAGGCAAGTTGTTTTTGTAAATATCCACTGAATCGGAGGTGTATTCACCCCCCTGAAGGCATTCTCAATTAATTTTTTATTTATCCGAATACAAAACACAGAAAGTAGCATACAATTCTATTTAAAAAGACCTTTCGGTAAACTTCAAATCGAGAAAAAAAAAGTTTGAACAGTTAAACGTTGTCTTTGACTCAGGTCAATGATATTAAGGAATTCTGAATTGGATAATTCACTTAGTATTGCATGAGCTAAAAATTTTCGGTATTGATTTAGGAATTGTGAAATTTTTCAGCCGCAGGATACAGTAAGAACGCGACAAATAGCCCGCACCATGGGAAACGAATCAGTCGAGCAGGCAGCGTCGACACCTTGTCCCCTTGTGAATCAATCGCTTCCGATGACTTGATATTGGATTACGAACAGAGCGATGCGAGTTCCTACGACGAGCAACATCGGTTGGTATTTTACGGTTATCCGCATTTCGTTTTAGCGATTATCGGATTTGTTGTCAGAATTTGGTTATTCATTTAAAATTGGATAAAATCATTTAGTTAACTCTTAAGTGACATGTGGCCTTAAGAGCAACACGATTTAATTAATTAAATGGGATCACTTTAAAAAAATGGACGTAAAATTTATGATTTACAAAGAACTGACAGAGAAATTATGAAACACTATGGATGATTATATTCTGAGGAACTTTTGAGGTACCTATACTGAAGTAAGAAAATAGTAACAGTGAAAATACAGGTCATCACATGCTTTTTACTACATATTGAAGAACGACAATGCAACGCCAACCCTCTGTGGTGAACCCGTTACCTTATTGTTCTTACGTGTTATAAATACATCACTTCTATCCGCTCTCTAAATTCTTGATACTAAATCGTGCGATCGTCACTAGTATCTTCTCTGTTGGTACTTTTGAAGTTGTGATTTTTATATTCCCATTGGGTGATTAAAAATGGTGCCATTCGATAAACAAATAAATCAGTAAAGCATTAGGAAATAAAACAGATACAGTTCTGCCTGGTTACATCAGGTCATGAACATACTTGGTTGCGGTTATTTCAATGAAATAATATGAAATGGAGTAAAAGAAAAACATTGAATGGTGTTGTTTATTTTTAGGGTGGCTTCAACCGCGGCGTTGCAGGATATGGACGACGCCACCATTCTCTCTGAATTGGAAGCACAAGGTGAACAAGTGATGAGACAGTGGAGCTCTCTGTTGGGTGCATGCCAAACGCTGCAGCAAACTAATAATTCAAACACTGTTAATAACAATCTGAACGGTGAATCGGCCAATAACAATAATCAAGCAGCCAACGAAATGGGGTGTGTATTTCAACATTTTTTTGTCTCTAATCGCTTCCAACTGCTCGTATATATGCATAAGATAATGCATGTGCTTACAATAGATAACGCTATTTCGCAGACTCCAAAAATCGTATGTAGATCAGTGTTCTTGTAGTTATTGCTAATGTGTTCAACTGTTTTACAGGTCGAAAAATGCTTTTTTTATATTTCGTTTTTTTTTACAAAGGATATTTAACAACAAAATTTGGATGATTCTTCGTAAAAAATATAAATAACAAATTTCGGAAGGAAGGCAGATTTTCGTGTACGAGTCTTTGTTTTTGAGAAATGTTATACGTGACATAAGTGTATATTGTATGTACGTGTAATTAACTTTTGTTAAAATTTAAACTTATTTGAAAATCTACTGCTGACAGTAAAATTATAAATGTGACCCAAAGTAAATTTTATGAAGTGAAAATAAAAAATTTGTAATATTACTTATCTATTGTTCAGTTTGCACTTTCCAATATATTGTTTTTATGAATTTTAAACTGTTGCAACTAATTGTAAGTACACAACTATTAAGTGTTACATTTTTAATTCAGAATGATGTCTTAAACATTTCATGAAATTTGTATACACTCATTTTAACCAACCTTATAGCCTGGGCAGTAGATTTATATGCATTATTTTCAAAAACGGAGACTCGTACCATTAAAATAAATATATCGTAATATTTAATTCTACAATTTTTATTTATTATTCCATTCAGCACCGTCTGGGAGCTTTATATTCTGTACAATTATTATTATTATATGTTGCTTTGCTGTGTGTTTACACTTTACATGTTAATGTTCTGAACCGCACAATATAAATGAGAAAGTATGAACTGTCCTGAATATTTTATTTAAACAGATGTAAATCATAAAGTTATGTAATTATATCCCAAGTTTCATAATTGAAGAGAAAATCATGACTTTAGACAAACTATTAACATTGCGCTATCGGAGTTTTATCGATGTTGGAAAATTCTTAACCAGTTTAGGACAAACTTGATATAATAATAGTAATAACATTTAAAAGAAATTTCAACTATCCCGTACTTCATTCAATTTTCGCACATTGTAAATACACAGATCTTAATGTAGAAATGTAAATACGTCCGTCTTTGACGATACAAAAGAAATTGTAGAAATATTACTCTGAGAGAAACTTCCGTTCGTATTCTAGGGATACTAAGGTAAGTTGTATAGTATTACGACACACAAATATCGCAGTCCGTCGATTACTGTATCACGAAGAATCATATACAGGATTATAGTACTGCTTCCATGTAGAAATCGCATTACCCTGTTCATATTATTTGTTCATTTCTTTAGAAATGTTGAAAATCAATTGCATGAAATTGTTAGTCACATCTGATATTCTTGCGGCTTTTTCAATCTCTCAATTAAAAAAAAACAATATAAAACTTAGCTTATCACTTTAACGATGTATACCTACAAATTGCTCCATAATTAGATAGTACGATTAATCTACAAGGAGGTACTTTTAGATCCGAAAACACAGAAATTATAAGACTATGTGTAAATGAAATTTGAACATGTGATCTTGAACTATTTTTGTGTGTTTGTCTATTACTCACTATTTGCACATAATTAGTTGTTTATTTAACAAATGGAGAAAGATACATTGCACACGTATGAAATATTTCAAAAGAATACGTTTTATTAATATAAACTAACGACTGGTATTAAATTAAAATGATACAGGCAAGAAAAAATTAACAAATAAACAGATGAAAGAAGAAAATATATAAAATATACACCGACAACGTCACCCACTAAGTTAAAAAATGTGTCGATTAATTCTACATGTGCGATTTATGCTATGACCTAATTAGAGAAAAAATACATTTTCGTAATTCAGTAACAAATTTAGCTCAGAGTCGGACAATGAGTGTTTAATAGTATGATAATCTAATAGTACACAAGATATAAATAAACGAACAATTATTTCTAATAAGGAATGGAATTAAGTATTTTTCATCTGGTTTTAGTAAAAAGTATTACTTATTGAAATACAGAGTTGCAACATTATTATACGCTTTCAACTGATATGCGCGATTCCCTTTCTAACCCCTACCAAGAAGCTAGCTTCTCCCCACTCAGTGAGTCACTGTCAGATCAGTATCACAGCGCAACCGGCAACTCAAGCTTGAAACACAGCGTGTGTGTTAGTAACGCGTGCGCGTTTTTACTGTTTAGATTATTATTTTGTCGATGGGTTCAGTTACCATGTTATCGTGTTTTTTTCTCGACTAATATTGATTCCCGTCTTGAGAATCACTAAAGTGTCAATAAAATATACAGTGTTAACTTGCAAAGAATTGAATCGGTAAATTATTCAGCAGTCGATTTACTGTTTATTGTGAGCCTGAGAGTCCTGTGTTATTCGGCGATATTTAGATGGACGATTTGACAAGAATAGCAATGGTGCTTTGTAAATCTTCACGTGGAAAATTGTGGGAATTATAGCTAGTTGGCACTGATAATCGTGTCTTTAATTTGTCATCGATCCTCTATAAAAAAAGACTAGTATTAATACAGCAAATTTTCACACATTGTTGTTTGACTGGTTTATGGGCTACTATGATCCCGATCAACAATATAATAATAACTGGTTGATCCATGAATAGAAAGCGTTTTTTGCTACTGAAAATATTCTCACCATGTTCTAAAAACTCTTCGGAGTAAACGTTACTATGTGAAATTTCGTAGTGACTTATTTACCAATGCTTTGGGGAAGTTTAGCGATAATAATATAGTAGAAGGTCGTTTATTACAGCGTTCGGGGCTGTAGAGGTCTAATTTTCAGGAATATTGCATTAAGCCGCGTACTCACCAAGCTCACAAGCTCGCTAAATGATCCGACTCCAATTTTCCAACAAACAATTGGAAAGTTCGTCGAACAAACCAAAGGAAAACAAGCGACATTGAAGCTCGCAGCAGACATGTGTAGAAAATACTCCCAAACCCATTGAAACCTACATAAGTTTGCATACTTTGATCTTAATTTTTAGTTTTATTTGATCGTTTCTTTTCCGTGCCATTTGTCTGAAATAATTTTGTCTGAAAATGTCATTTCTGTAACTAAATAAGAAGTGATTAACTTCTCAGTATCGACTATAGTTTCATAAAGCTCGTGTCAAAAAGAAATTTTTATAAAGTTTCGTTTTCAATAACTTTATCGTTGACCTTGCGATTAATTTAAATTGAGAGGAGTCCTCGGAAGCGTTACCAAGTCTTTAATTTTTATAAAATGTAAGATATTATGAAGAAAAAGTGCACGTACTACGATAAGTTCGCATTGCGTGTTGTTTATGAAGAAATGTTATTCGATATTCGATAAAATCTGATATAAGCAATTTTTCCGTCTCCGTCAGATACCGCAAATTTTTCCGTAGCTTGGATTACACTTCGTAGGTATCTTCCTGCCGCTCGATTTCTTTGCGATTATTTCCTGTAGTTCCCTCATACGTTTCCTTTGATTAATTGTGCTTTTTATTGTGTATGCTGCATGCACAGTTATCCGACGATAACAATTCGAAAGATTATTGATTGGTCTCTTTCCTTAGTCATACATAAGTTTTCTCCAGTTTTGTTATGTATTAACATTGTAGTCGATTGAACTCGTAGATAGTACTTTGAGTATAATATTCTTTAGTATTGCAATTGTAGAATCACGAATGATCGGTTAATATTATGAACATTCCAACGTGTACGTTTTGCCGAATTGCCGTTTATTCCGCATTTTTTTCTCGATAAATTTCTTAAATAGTTCATAAAAAATTACTTGACAGTATTACACGAACGTATATGTATAAAGTCAACGCGTATCGAGTGGCCGTTAACTCTCGTCAAACAATGCACGAGTCTGTCCGGATCAAGTTGTAGAAGGATTGCGTATAAATTTCCCATGGAACGTTCGACACGTAACCGACGTTCGGAATTATTTTATTGACAAAACTATCCTTACTTGGCATAAATGTAGTATATGGGAAAGTATTCGGCAGTGATTCGTTTATTAGGAAATTGTACTCATTGTTAAGGAAGCGAAATCATCCCTGCAATCTGGAACGGAAAAGTTGTTCATTTGCACAACTAGAAGGCGAAGGAAGATAGACATAAAAGTGTTAAACACGAAAGTTTCTTAGTTCATGTAAAGAATATCATGATATAAACAGGATTTTGAAAAAATTAGTGATTACGCTTATATACTCGTACAGTGTTAGTCACGAGCAACAGAACACCTAAATATCTCTGTTGAGATTGAAGATAGGAGATGTCCAAAATAATAATTTTTTTTATTTAAAGGGACAAACGTTGTCATATAAACGAATTCTTTGTTCGGTTATTTTCAAGGTTATTTCAAGGTCATAGTATCCTACGTCGCTGAACTCGCCATGGCATTAGCTACAACGCTATGAAGTTGAAACTGCATGATGCCATTTAAAAAAGATATTGATAACCTTCTAATAACCTTGAAAATAACATCAAACAAAATGTTTGTTTATATCATCACCTTTACCTTACTGAACAGTACAACTTTAGTCTTGGGCATATTCCCCTATCTTCAATCCCAACAAGGATATTTAGATGCTCCGTTTCTCGTGACTAACTCTGAATATAAGATTTATCCGCGTTTAGAAATACTTGAATTGAAATCCATTTGAATTATATCGATAAACGTATATGTTTGTTCAATTTAGCGAAATTGCCCTCAATTACGAAACATTTATTTGCATATAAGCTCAGCGTCCCTTATAAAATTTATGAACATTTGTATGCGTAATGTAAAAATACTCTAGTTTCCATTCAAACTCAATGTTTCATTGCTCAGTAAATTAAAAATTTCTGGAAAAATACGTAATCATCTTGTTAACCATGGTATTGACCTTAAGGATAATAATCTTCACAATTGAGGGATAGATCTCCAACCCTACGGTAGAATCAACAGTTTATAATTTTCACAAA